ATATATTATAAATTATATTCTGTTGAACGACGAATTATGGAAGACGAATTTTCAAATATCGAATTTTCACGTCCATTATTCAATTATTTCCAATATGTGAAAAAGATAAATACGTATCAAATCACAAAAGTGTTTAATGATGATTACATCATAGTAAATTTATTATTTCGATCTTCTGACATAATCAATCACGTTTATATTTATAACATCTTCAACAATATCAAAACGTTAAATAATTACATGAAAAAACATCGTATTTATCTATCATTTTCTCAGACATATTTCGATTTAAATAATTTAAGAAATCTCAAAAATCTAAAGGGTTTATCATTATCAAACATATATCTATACCATAATTATCATTTATTTTTCAATAATTTATCAAAGGTAAATATAACAACACTTCGATTAAAAAACGTTTCTAGGAGAGAATTATTCAAGAATATCGTCAAATTACACAATCTTAAAATTCTTTCATTGATAAATTGCGTTTACGGAATCAATGATCTTGTATTCATATTGAATCATCTAAAAAGATTATTGTATCTAAAAATAGAATCTCAAAAATTTAATTGTAACGTTAAAAGAATATTAGAGATATGTAAAAAACATAGGAATATAAAAATAATGAGATTAAAAATCGGAAATGGAGAAATTAGATAAATAAATTTAATAAATATTGCATTTTTTTTTATAATAAATAAATTAATTTATAATGTTATTCTACAAAATCATTTCAAAGATTAAATTCAATAATATAATTTCATTCAGTGATTCATTCACTAACATGGGAAATGTTTATAATCTGACGAATAGAATATGGCCAACAAAGATAAATTACAAAGTCATTTCTGTAACGGAAAAATTTGGATAGAGTATTTTGCAGATTTATATGATATCAAATTAATAAATTATACATATGGTGATACAACATGTGACGGAAATTTTATTCAAGGATACACAAGTAAAAAAAAAAAAAGATGATAAATTTATGGTACCTGATATAAAACAACAAGTAGAATTGTTTGAGATGTAGTATTCATTTGTAAAATCCGATTCTAGTATATCATTGATATTAATACCAAATCTTTCAGGTAATACAAAAAAAAATATTATTAATATTCATTGATGATAAATCAACATTGCTAATTTCTTTGATGAAAAACATATGATATCATCAATATTCGGATATGAAAATTTCTTTTTACAAAAATCTAGCAAGAGAGAAAAGAAAAAAAAATATCAGATATAATGGATTTTTATTTGAAAAATTAGTAAAGTTTGATCATAAGACAAATGTAAAGATAGTATATGTAAGATCTGATAAATTTTTCAAGATGATATAAAGTAGAAAAGAAATGAGATATTTCGAAATTAAAATATTAGTGATAGCTGTAATGATGGAGATTAAATTATCAAAAAAAAAAAAAATTCATATTTTTATTGGGGTGATTTCCATGTTTCTACAAAGATATATGAATTAACTGCGAATTTATGCTTTAAAATTTTACAATAAAAAATCATATGTTTATTGGGTCTTATCTCTACAATATCATAATTTATTTTTTTCATATACATATTTAAACATATTTCTTATTCCAAATCATATTTTTATAAAATTTATATTTTCGATAATTTTTATTCATTCTAAATAAAAATAATAGATTAGTATATTACTAAATAAGATTATTTCATCTAATTATTATTTAACGTGATTTCATGTCAGCTACTCATATGAGTCAATATTCAATAGTTCAAGAACATGTGAGACAACCGTTAAATAAATAACCAAATGTTCACAGAGCGAAAGATATGCGACAATTACTTTCTATCATCAAATTAATAATTATCAATAAACTTACCTCATTCAAATAATCATCAATAATTTTCTTTAACGATTCACATGTTGTTATTTTCTTTTTATCTGATATAATAATTATATTATTAATATTATTTTCTTCTTGATAATCTTTAAATTCTTTTTCTAAAAATTCATAAATTATAAAAATCCCAATAAAATCTCTTGAGAAAAGATTAAAAATAGCTTCGTTAAATTCTGATAAATGTTCAACTTTATAGATGATATTACGCTCATCTTTAATTATGAAATGATAATTATCATATATTCCATAATATTCAAATCCCGGATATCCAATATCATAATCCTTAAAAATATCAAATTCTATATTAAAAACAAATGAACGCCATGTTTTAAATCCAATATTTTTTAATTTTTGAATAATTCCTCCTTTTAATTTTCTAAAAGGTATATCATATGATTTTACTATTGGGTTAAATTCTTCACCGTTATTTAATTCTTTTAAATTTTCCAAGATATTTTCTAGAGTATCGAAATAATATAACATTGTTTTTTCATATTTTTTATTATATTTTTCAATATCTTTATGAATATTTTTGTTTTCTTCAAGAGTACAAAAATAAATCTTTATAAATTCTGGATGAATCTCATCAATACTTTTCATAAATTTTTCAAATCTAAAAGTTCCAGAACTTCTCGAACATTCACTCCAATGTCTAATCAAAATTATAAAATGTATTTTTCCATAACGTCCTATAATAGAAGAACCAATCATCCCATCTAAAAATACACATAAAACATTATGGTTTCTAAGATATTTCAAAAGCTTAAGTCGACCTGCTTTAGCTTTATCCATAAAATTTCTCTTTCCGAATTCATAATCAGGATGAATATTTTCAAGATCGATATCTGTTTTTTCAGTCATTATAAATTTTTACGAATAAATTTTATTGAATATATTTCCTTTATTTATATATTTATGAATTATTAATTACATAGATGATAAATTACAAATATCAATAAAATAATCTTTCTAATTCTGGATATGGATTATAAATCGATTTTAAGAGATTATTCCTTCTATCAACTTTAAAAAATGCAATACATTTATGTTTAAAATGTCGTAATGCGCCTTTTGTAATACCAGATCCAACCATAAAATATATTTTTTTCTTACAATTTTTATGTTTACCTGGAATAGATATGGAATAATTTATACTTTTTTTATCATACATTATTCTTCCGTGTATTTCATATTCTTTTTTATATCCTATCATATCAGCAAACCATATTTCTTTGTCTTGTCTACAATTCGAACTCCACATAAGCCTATCAATTTTAATTTCTATATTATTCTTTTTGAAAAAATTCAACGTAATTTCTATATTTTTTTTCTTTACCGTATCTAAATGTCTATAAAAATTTATTAATATTAAATAAATAATCAGTTATTCAAAAACACAAACCTGTATCTTTGGTAATCTTCACATAATTTAAGCATTTCACGACTCCTAAAATATCTATTAAAATAAAATATTAGATAAATAATAAATAATTAAGATAAATTATTAATACTAACTTTTTTCCTTGAAAGTTCCAACATTTAGAAAAAAACGATTCTTTTCTATTGTATTTTTTAACTAAATCTTTATTCTTAAAATATTCTATACATAAATAATTTTTATATTTCTCGAAAAAGATTTTATTTTCATACATCTTTTTTTTTCTATATCCATATAAAAAAACCCAACCTTCTTTCATATCAAACCATTTCATTATAGATTCATCAAATATACTTCTTATAATTCTACATGTAGTACGTATACAAATAATAAATTTTATAGGTCTTATTTTTCGATAAAATTTCGTATCTATTATATCAAATACTAAAAATTCTATTATCTCTTTGATAATTTCTGTAGGTATAAAAAGTTTAATTTTTTTATTATTTTTATTTAAATTATTATTCTCTAACCTATGTTTCATTTTTTTTTATATATTCAAATATTGAAATATCAGTTTATTTATAAATATCATATTAATAATATAATTTTAATTCATTTAATAATCCCAAATATCTTTTATAAATGATATTAAAATATAAAATAGATACAAATTCAAATAATCATAAATCCTTTGATCTTATCTAATTTATTGTTAAGTGTTTCGTCATTTTGAAATTGTATACCCAAGTTAACAAGAATCTCATTTATCTTTTTATCCAATGATGAAACCAATTCTTTCAATTGATTTAATTCGTTGTTTATATGAATATTATTTGATACCTGATTTAATTGAGTGGTTAAATTATTCACTTGATTGACCAATTGTTGCTGTTTACTTTTATTTAACGTGATAATTTCTTGATATGTACGATGTGCGACTTGATGAAGTATTCCTTCAGCGTAATAAGGGATACCTTTATTGTAAGCATTTGTCAAGATACCCTGAACATTATTCATAGCTGTATTTCTCATATTATCAATATATCCGTCACCGTATTGCCCAATTTTATAAAAATTATTTATCATAATGATGAAATTTCTTAATCCAACTCTTGTATTGTTTGTATTTCTATTTGTTGTACCAAATGTACGAGTCCAATGACTGATAGCTTGATTAATGATATCATTTATTTTTTGTTCGGATAATTTCTCCATTGAAGATAAAATAAAAATTCATAAAATAAAACAACTTAATTATAAATATTTATATATTTTTTTAAATAATACGTATATACCTTAGACATTTATAATATGATTTATAACAAGTTTTACAGAAATTACGTATATTATAATATGCACGAATTCCTAAAATAGGACAATTCAGATTCTTGCATCCATCATTATATCTATGAGTATATTTTGCGCAAAAATCAAAATTATTGCATCGGACACATGTAGATTTATAATCATCTCTGTTATAAATTGATGAATTGACAAGAAAATATTTATAATCATTCAAATGATCATATATGCAAAATTCTTTTTTATCAGCTTCAAACCCATGATTTACCCTAACTAATCTCCGTATTTTAATATTATCATTATAGAAAATAATGTATAATTGGTTATTTTTATTCATCTGTAGATTAAAATTACGAATGATGACAGGAGCAACGTGTGGATTATAAGAATAGTTTTGTATCAAAATATATCTGGTTGCTCGTTTCTTAAATAACTCATGATAAATCCGATAAAAATTCCTGTTTATCCGTTTTACATTCTTATATTTTTGATCAAAAATAGATATCTTGAGAGGTAAGTAAAATGATAATACAATGTAAAAGCAATCATAATCTAATTTAGATACAGAATGTTTCACACAAGTATTTTTAATCTTCTTTCTCGTGTATACTTTATTCTTTATTTTCGGCATTTTTTTTAAAAGAAATAGAAATTATATTATATTTATAATAATTTATTTTTTATCATCCGAAACAATCATTTCTTCAGTGTATTTTTTTTTTAAAACTTTAATTTCATAATCATTATAATCAATTTCCATAATATTCAAATTTTTATGTTCATAAAATTCATTCTTTAAAAGATCTTCATGATCATCATATAATAAATATATCTTTAGATAAACCAATTTTTTCATATTTTTCATGATTGATAAAAGATCATAATACCTAACATGATCATAAAATGTAAGATGTGTTAAATTTTTAAATCTAAAAATTTTTTCACATTCTATTGATGATATCAAAACTTTTCCTACATTAACAGATAATGTTAATTTCTTCAAGTTATCAGTATGTTTAATTTCATCTAAATCATTATGTAGATTTAAATGAATCTCATTAATTTTAATACAATTATTTAAAGCATCAAAATTTTCAAAATCCGAATGTACGTATACATAATTAATGATTGATGAATGTTTGAATAGTAAATTAATCACTTTAAATTCTATATAGAAATGATTTCTAAATATCTTGTTGATCTGAAAACCATTTACTTTCTTCACAAAATTAAGATACGGAAATAACGTAAAAGAATATATTGGTGTGGGAAAATAATGATTTAAAAGAAATTTTTCATCATTATTTAATAAAATATATACAACTCGTTTTAAAGAATCGATATTAGAGTTACTATTCCAATATTTAAAAGGATTTTGCCATAATATTGGAACCGCATTTCTTGCCCAAATTCGAGAAACCATGACGCAGTCAAAGAGAGAAACATCCGTATCATAAAGATATGTGAATATTATGATCAATATTTCCAAAGGCAACATATTTAATATTTATTTTATGATGAAAAAACTTAAAAGTCATCATATTTATAAATAACATCATTAATATGATTTATAATCAAATTTAATAATTATTTATCATTTATAAATTTTATTTAATAAAAAAATATAAAAATAATCATGAAACATATATTTAAAATAAGCTAAACGAATGAAAAATACAAATATAAAAATTTATAAGAAAGAATCAAAAATTATTTCAAATTTTTTAAATGATTCAATAATTTAATTCGAGAATCATTTCTTATTTCTTTATTTATCTCATTTTCCTCATCATCATCATTATCAATTGAAGGATTATCGACATGAATAATAGTATGATTATTGATCAGATCAAATAGTTTTTTACTTTCTTTAAGTAAAGCTTTTTGATCAATCCTACACCTTTCGGAATTTCTAAAATTAACAAATTTAGTCCTCACTAAAGTAATATTATCAAAAATATCCTTTAAAAATTCCAAAACTTTTAATTCTTCCTCAGTAAACTTTCTCTTGAAAGTAAAAAAAACTCGAGTTACATCCTTTTGAATCGAATTAATTACATTAATATTTTTTTCAATGACTTCTTCATTTGATAATTTGGTATTATTTATACCAACAGTATCGATAACTTTATATTCGACATTATCTAATAAAAAACTTTCAATATGAGTTTCTTGAGTTTCACTAACTGAAGTTTGACCTTCTTTGAAAAGATCAGTATCAGTGATCACGTTGGCTAAAGTTGAGATACCTGAACCACTGTAACCCATGATCAAAATATTTTTTATAATTTGATTTTTATTTTCAGACATGATGGTAGAAATTTTTTTTGTAATGAGAAAAACTATTAAAACATCGAATATTTCTTTATTTATAAAGAAATAATATCAATAATCATTTATAATTTTGAATCATCAAAATACAATTTAAAAAATATGATAATAATCACATTAAAAAATATTATAAATAATAAATTAGAAAAGACTATCTAATTTTTTTTTGATAAACTCTTGAATTCCATCATTCTTTACTTGATTATGAATTATTTCCACGGTATTTTTATTCATATCTATTAAACCACTCATTTTCTGATAAAGATCTTTATTTTTAATTTCTTCACCATTTGAATTCAACCAATTATTTTTTTCCCATAATTCAATCCATGAATCATTAGCATTCACGATATTACTATCATTAGTGTATATTTTTAAATTTTTATCTATACTTTTAAAACAATCCAAAGCTATGACAACAGCATTTAATTGAACATATGGTACTAAACCATTAGTTAATTCAAACATGTTTTTATCCGGATAATTTTCAGAATAAATACCATAAGCGATCTTATTATTTTTTGTTCTGACACGTGTATAAATGTATAAACAATCATCAATAGGAATACTTTCATCTGAAAAATTTTGTGACACACATAAGTTTGCCATTTTTGATTTGTATGAGTTAGTAATTAAATAATGATAAATCAAGAGAAATCACTACTCATACCTATGACAAGATTATTCCTTGCATAACAAGTAGAATAATATCCCAAATTATTTTTCAATTTAACATATTTATGGTTAATACCAGTAATATGTTCCAAGAGAGATTTATCATTTTCATCGACGACAAGATTACCAAGTAAATACCATTTATGCAGTTTTATCAAAGATAATTTCAAATCATCATCAACCCAAATATTACAATCTAAAGGTTTATCATTTTTATCGAATAATTTTACTTGACAAAAAGTTTTAATAGGCTCATTTGGTAGTTTAAACATCAAAGGACGTCTATAATTTTCTTTATGTGTGGTTCTAAACCAAGATGAATCCATTTTTTTTAAAAAAAAAAAAGAAAATAACAGAGAATATTTATAGATAAACAGATTAATAATATTAATTAATAATACAGATAAATAGATTAACGGATCAATAACATAATTAATGTGAATAGGAAAAACGTCAAAGTGAACATTGGGCGCAGCCTAATGTGAACTGCGATGGCGTTTGCTATTCATGTTAATTATCAAAATTTTTGACCTCTTTGTGCAGCCATTTTTGATTCTCAACAGCGATTGAAGCATCGCTTCAATCGTCGTTGAGTATAAAATAACAAATTAATAAACTAATAAAATTTTGATGTTACACATGATTATATAATTTTAAAATGAAAATTTAAGGTTTTTTTTCAATTTTTTTTATTTTTTTTTTAAATTTTAAATTTTTTATTTATAAATTTGTAAAATAAAAAAGTAAATATAGAAAATAAATATAGAAATTTAATTAAAGAATCATGTATCCAGTGATTTTTTCTAATTTTATATCAGGACTTTCATTTTCTGAAAAATCAATACCTAGATTTTTAAGAGTTTGATTTATTTTTATATCCATTGATGAAATCAATAAATTTTTTTCATTTAATTCAGTTGATAATTTTTCATTTAATAATTTTTCTTGATTTTGTTGATTTTTAGTTTTTTCTTGATTTAATTGATTATTCAATGTATTTATTTGGTTTATGTAATTTTGATTTTTATTTCTTTCTTGATTTAATTGATTATTCAAAAAAGTTGTTTGGTTTATGTAATTTTGATTTTTATTTCTTTCTTGACTTAATTGATTTTTTAATGAAGCGATTTGATCATGTAATCCTTTTACAATATTAGCAGATCTGTTATAGTCTACCATTTTAATTTTGTTAAAAAATATTTATAAATACATCTTATTTATATCTTTATATTTTTATAAAAAAAAATAGATATTTTTTTTTTAGAAATATATGATGGATAAAATTCTGAGTAAAAAAACAAATCAGATTCAGAAAATTTTAAGAATAAAGGGAAATCAGTATCGATTAATAATCGAGAAACCTATCTTGGAAAAAGTCTTAAGAAAAGAGTTAAACAAACATTTAATAAAAATTAAAACTGTGAAAAGGTTATCTGAAACTAAAAGAAAAAAAATTATTAATGAATTTATTAATCGGGTAGTTATTGAATTTAACATAAAAAATAGAGATACTAGAGAAGTTGGGAACAAGTTTTATGATTTTATTGAATTGATCAATAATTTTAACAAAGGTGAAGATGATGATGATTATAATGATGTTAAAGATGATATTATTATCAAGATTAAAGAATTGATGGATTATTCTGATGGAAATACAGATAATCAGATTGAAAAAATACTTCGTGAATTTACTCGTAATATTCGAGAAAAAGGAGATAAAGATCAAATATCATATGAGGAAGATTCAGATAGTGATAATAATATTAAAGATAAACCAAGAAATTACAAACCTAACAGAGAAATAAAAGAATCTGATCAAGAGAATGACAGAGATAGAGAATTAATACATGAAACAGATAAAAATTTATCGATTTATAAATCAAAGAAATATAAAAAAGATGGAATTAATAATTTATGTTTAAAGATTAATCAGTTTAAAACTGTTGTAGAAATGGATTTTTCATTATAAGAACCTATTGATGAAAAATTAAATCAAATTATTAATTGTAGCAATACGTTAAAAAAGATTTTACCAGTTGTACGAAATATAAATTATTAATAAAAATTAATATAGAATATTTATTAGTAGTTGAATATTTTATATATAAATAAAGATTTTTTTTTTATGGAAAATAACAAAATGTTATTTTGTAAACATTGTGATAAAAAAACTAATCATCAAACAATTTTTTGTTTTAAAACACAATGTAAAATTTGTAAAAAATACGGACATATGAGTATTCATTGTCCTGTTTTACCATGTTATATTTGTAAAAGACATGGTCATACATTAAATAATTGTAGATACAAGAATTTAGAAAAAAATGATATTTATGGAAAACCTGATAGATCCGGATTTTTAGGATGTAGATGTTCTTATGATTTAATTCAAGAAAAGTTTGATGAATTGATGAGAGAAAATCCAAATATATCAAAAGAAAAAAGATTTCATTGTTGTGAATGCATGAATTTTTACAAATATTATCAAGTAAATGATAAAAATAAATGTAAAAATTGTAGAATACCGTGTTTTATTTGTAAAGAAAATCATATGTTGAATGAATGCAAATATAAGAATTATTTTGATAAGAATTATATTTACGGAAGATATGATGAGAACGGAAAATTAGGATGTGGTTGTTCATATGATTTAATCCAAAAAAATTTTAATGAATTGATTGAGAAAAAACCTAATACATCAAAAGAGAGGAAATATCATTGTTGTAAATGTTATGAGATTTCTAAATGTTTTGATTTAATCGATTTAGGTGATAGTAGATTTAATTGTAAACGTTGTTATGAAATTTTCTGTGAAGGATTACCTGAGGATGATCAGAGAAAGTTAGAATATTATCAAAGTAATGAATATCAGAAAAATATTGTGAATTGTGTTATTTGTGATAAAGAACATAAAAGAGGAAATTATTTGGAAGGTATTGGAAATTTTTGTGATATACATCATCAAATAGCTTATAAAGTCTGGGAAGATATCCAGAATCCAAATAAAAATATTAATGATCGTATTGAACACTGGACTGAGATAAGAAGATTAGCAAGTTATTCTTTGAATAAGAGTGCGATATATAGAACTATTATGATATATACAGGAGAGTTAAATATGGCATATG